CGAGCCAGCACCGCCCGCACCCGCGCCGGGCCCCGCAGCGCCGCCGGGCGCCGGAGGACGCGGGGCATACAGGTAGAGAGAGCGGCCGGGGCAGAGCGGGGGGAAGGGGCTTAGCGCCCGGACTGGGCCGGGGGCTGCGACGCCGGGAGGGCAGCGAGCACGGCCTGCGRCGGGAGCGCTCCCGGGGAGCTAGGGGGCTCCGCGAGGCCCGGCCGTCKCCTTCCTCTCGCCGGGGGAGAGGGCCGGGACCGCGCTGACACGGCCCAGGCCCCGCAGGGCCGTGGGGCGGAGGAACCGGCAGGCCGGGCCCCGCGTGGGTGGCACCGGGGAAGGCGTCGTAGGTGTCCGGCGTGTGGCGGCGGCTGCTGCGGGAGCCGGGCCGGGGGACGGCCGGCGGGCCGGGCCCGTGCACGTGCATTGGCCGGGGCCTGGGGAGTGTCGGGCGGGGGCCGACGGGCTGTGGGGGTGGGGGAAGGTGGCGAGCAGCGGAGACGGCCCCGGTGTCGGGAGGAGAAGCTGCCGTGAGGCCTGGGTGCTTGTGACGAGCTGGGGATGAAGTCACAGGCAGATGGGCAGTGCCTGGGAGCCTTTAGGAGAAAAGAGTTGAAGGTAGTTCTTGCTCGTAGTTTGGAGCTTACTGGCTCTGCGAACCCAATGGATGTAGTTTTACTACAATTTATAGTAATGCCCCCCTCGGAAGGAGATAGTCATTTTGGTGGGTTGGAGGCAGCTGGAAAAATCTGTACCTGTCTAGTTTTGTGTTTCGGCAGGTTGAGGGATGTATTTATATCGTGGGTAYGCAGATGTCGGGGTGAAACCACATGTGTTTGGGAGTAGTGGTACAGGAAGGCCTGGGAATTTAGGAGTGATAGATAAACAGGCTTTCCCCTGTGTTGTGAAAAGTAAGGTGGTAAGTTGGCAGGCATCTAAAGACTGTGGAGGAGGGAGGCTTTGGGTGGTAGGGAACCCTGTGTACAAGTTACAAGCASAGTGGTAACAGGTTGCTACAAGGTTCTGAACTTGTTTTGTTTTGTGGCCGGTGTGGTTAGACTTAATGTGCGAGACCTTCGTGTGTAATATGAGCTGGTATGTGGACAGAAAGTCATGCGTGTTCCTRCTGCTGTGCTTTGGTTTGTCTACTGCTCACATTGGGAACTGAGTGAGATGCCCGGTTGTCACTAGCTCGGTGAGTTCTCTGTCTGGTGTGTGGAGATGGGCTAGAGCAGCAAGCAACGTGGTSTGTGTGCTGTGATCTTGAGAGGAACTGTGAGTTGATGTTTCTCATGTAATGGAATGGAAAGGTTAGATATTCATGGTTTGGTCCGTGGAATACAAATGGGAAAATGAGCACCAAATGCCACGTGTTAGGATCATGATAGTGCTGTTTGGAGAAAAATCTGTGCATGCCCTGGAGAGCTGTAGAACCRTAGGCATATGGGTTTGTGACAGATATCAGCCGTCTAAATTTCTGTCTATTAGGTCATCAGTGCTCTCTTGCAGGTAAATTTTCAAGGGTTTYTGTGGACTATAAGAAAGTGAGTGGCCTTGGGTGGGTATTTGGGTACAGTTGAAAACAGGGGGAAGGATGAATTTGTATACAGGGTGAAGATTATGTTAGGCTATGTATACACGTGTGTATCAGGGGAATGGTATTTGTGCAAAAGGGAAACTGGAGTTTTCGTATTGCTGAGTTAGTTAGTCTGTGTATATAGAGAGGAGGCAGGCGTTTTTGGCTGAGGCTGTGAAAAGCTGAAATAGTGTGGGGGAGGGATGATGAACCCGCTCCAGGGTCCTGAGCAGGTTGGAGGCTGTGGGGATTCTTTGCTGCWCATAGTATGGAGAGAAATATTTTGTAGTTATGACACTTGAAATGTGTGAAAATGAAATAGTGAAAATGAAAAAAGTGAATAAAGATGAGGCAATTTATTAGTTACAAATATTACTGGATTAAAGGAGATTTCAGGACAGTCCAGGGGTTTCTGGTAAAGTGATTTTTTTTTTTTTTTGTTTATTTTGTTCTGTTTGTTTTACTGGATAAATTGACCATTAACTTTAAGGGTAAACTTCTGCTGAAACTAGCAGTTGTAGTGGTGTTGACAGGTCAGCAGCTAACAAAACGCATTTAATGTGATGTAGACAAGCCCCAGGTATGTGTGTGCTCAGGGGCTCTGGTACATCTACTATGTGTATTTATTATATGCATTTTCTGTACCTGAACACTTAACTGAGTGCATGCATCCAGAGGATATGAAATCTTCTGTACTGGACATATATTTGTGCTTGAGRGAGGGTTAGTGCATCAGCATTTGAGGGTCAGAGATTTTTGAAGAGAAGATCCATTTAGAATGAAGTCATTTGGATCAGCTGGAAATGAGGAGTAATTGCTTGTATCCCATGTTCAGCAGGTTTGGGATAGTATGTACTATTAATTTGCATAGCCCCTCATCYGATGTTCTGCAGATATTTAGGGGAGGCTATTTCATAAGGTAGTGATTTAATTGAGGCACACAACATTGGGATGAGGGAAATGTAATTAATGTAATATGGAGAGGACTGCATAGACAGTGATGTGAACCCATTTTTCTTCTATTGTGGTAGCCATGAGATGATCAGTTAGTGAGGTAGGGAACAAGAGAAAGAAGAGTAGTTTTATAGCTGTCCTGGACAGTTCTCTTTTTGTCTCTGGTGTGCATTCCTTTTTTAAACTTTTCTTGTGATTATCATTGATGTGTGCTTCTGACTTAGGTTTTTATTTCTTGGGGCAAGTTTACTATCACAATTGAAATTAAAGCTTGTGAAATCTGTGTGTTGAACAATTGTTTCACATGCTCACTGTCAAAAGCTGCTGCTCTTGGGTCCAGTGGGGAGTAGTATTTCTTACATGAGTGTGTTGCCTCCATATTACAAAAGGGAAAGGCACTAAAATYTACTCTTATTAGTGACTCTAAAAAATTTGTGTTTGTGAACTATTTACTCTTTGGAGCAAGGCTTATTTTGACTGTGGCGAGGGATGGGGATKCACAGAACAATGTTCAGCTAGATTTGAATGTCCTTAAATGGAACAAACTTCAGCACACCTTGCTTCTCTATTGTTCTGCGGGGTGGAGATGGGCTTGGCTTGTCAGTGTGGTTTCTGTGTTTAGTTTGGTCTTGTTTTTTTTTGCTTCTTAYAAGAAAAACCCACTAAGAATGAAAATTGATCATTTGATAGTGCTTTGCATAATTAGTCCAGTTGGAATGCTTAAATCTAACATATAGGTCTACTGCTCTAGACCTCAGGAATGGTAAATGGCTGTTCTTTTCCAGTCAGCACTGGAAGATAGGTAGCTRACCAATTTCTTCCAAGTCAATGGGAAAGCCTTGGTGAAAGAATCCAAGCCCTASTTTCCATGTTTGGATTGTGGAGAGTGATTACTGTAACAGGCCATGCGTATCTTTGTGTCCATAGTTGCTTTTTTTTTCTTTCCCTAGTATTGATTTAATCTGTCCACTGCCTTTTATTTGGTTTTTGTTTTTTTATTTCTTATCACTTGTCCACTGATTTCTCTGAATTCAGTGCTGCACTTYACTCCCCTGTGAACAAGAAGCATTCTTCAGATCTTGGGCCTTTTAGCAGCAGTAGTTCAAGTGACTCAATCTGAATATTGGCCTCCTCAGTAAATTGGACAGGAGTAGTGGTGATTTCTTTGGAAAACTGTTGTAATCAAAGTTTTTGCTGTCTTAGTTCCTTCCCTATGTATAACTTTTTTTTTTATTTTGTGCTTCAGTTTATGCTTGATGGTCTTCAAGATTTGGCTTAGAGCTGTACAGGATGTGAATTGTCATTTCATCCTCCTCACTGTCTGTTAGCAGTGTGAATGCAGCATAAATGTTTTATGCAACTTAGAGAGGTCTGGTTTAGCCCCAACTTCCAATATACCAGGTATACATAAAATGTTCAGGAAATTTAATGTCAAAATCTGGAGCAGAAATTGCAGCTTCCTAATTAAAAAAAAAAAAAAAAAAAAGCCACCCATATAGAATGACATCTGACTAGAGAAGCCCAGAAAATAGAAATTGAAAGATGATTCCTGATATAAGAACAAGGATGCAGTTTCCAAAAAGATCATTGGAACTGCTTGTACTTAACGGACAACTTTATAAACTCTTTAGCTGTTTGTATGATGTCTTTGAGCCTTAGACAGACGTCTAGTATGGGAATCTTTGTTCAAACTTCTTCTAATTTGCTTATACCTTGTACAGTATTGTATTTGTATCATGTGATAAAGTCAAATAAAAATTCTGAAGAATTAATGAGTGTCACTCYRGAAGAAAACTGGTCTGAAAATCTTCATGACATGGTAAGAAATGACCATGATGAGGTAGCTGGGGTAGCTYAGTTTCTTGAGATGAGCAGTTCAGCTCATCTCAGTTTCTTAAGACATTATTGGCATGTTGAAACATAAGGGTTGCCAATGAGTGTAAGTCTTCTGGCACTTAAAAAACTCGCTGTTGGGAGAGGAAGCGCAAAGATGTTTTAATGTGGAGAATGATAAAAGAAGGGAAAACGCCATATGTCAGCAGACAGCAGCCTTTCTTATGATTTTGAAGGAAGTTCAACTCAGGCCCAGATACTTTTGTTCTGCTATGAAAACTCAACTCTTTTTTTATCCTGTGCACCATTAGTTTCTTATTAACTTCAGTGTGTCATTTTATGATGTCACTACATTACTATCTCCTGGCATAGGTTCTCTTCATCTTTGATGGGAAATAACTTTTTTCGTTGAGTTTTCTCTCAAACAAATAGTGCAGCTAGATGYTTAAGTCTATTTTCACTAGAGTTCATGTGAAAYAGGGCAGAAAAACATCTTAAGGATGTTTCAGATTCRGCTACTAGAGAGCTTAAGATGGCTCTTTAGTGTGTATGGTAATGACATGTCAATGATCACAAACTTCGAGTTACATCACAGAGGAAAGTGTTGTTCATTCTTTGCTGTTTTCATGGGATTAGTGTGTTAACAGAAAATGTCATCTTCAATAATCCTACTTTTGTGTCTGCACCCCAGTGCAGGAACTTGACCTTTAGTGAATAT